CTAGCCATGTTTTGTGCCTGCGTCTTCGTCTGGACGGATCGGTTTTACATCGCAATCAATAAGATATTGTTTTCCGTCGAGCTCCACGCCCCCACCGACAATGGGCTGGCGGAGTTGAGGGACAATTCACAAAATGTTCAAAAGCCCACACTAGACTGTTATTGTGGGAAAGCAGCGAGAGGATGACTTTTAGAAACAGGGAGAAATGTAAGAAAGAGGTTCAACTGGACATTCCCATGCATGATCTTTGTCTCACATTATGAGCTGAACAATATGTGTTAATGCGACCACAAAGGAAAAGACAAGAGATTCTTTGTGAAACTGCATGGTCAGTCTGCTGTTTTTGCAAAAGCGATGCATATTTAAATGTAGCTGTCGAGATGGGATGTGTGTCTATAAATTCATTTCCACGGCTTGCTGGGGTTGGACGACACACTTCGTCCTCCCGCCTGTCCCCTCGACCCCTCTGACAGAGTCTCGACCTCTGAGCTCTCATCAAAAAGGAGGCAAGAGGTTAAGTTCTGCGAACCAGCAGGTCAACGACCTCTTTATCCAGCGTTGACCCCCCTGCAGATCTGCACTTAGGGAATAACCCAAGGGGCCTGTTCTCAGATTTAACATTTCCAAAAACCCAAATTTGTTTTGAATGTTTTTTCAAACCACTATTGTATCATGCAGGCTCAATGAACCTAGATGCTTTTGAAACCTGAAAGAAGCTTACATTTGACTGATTAGACAAACATCATGATTTCTATCCAACTGGTCATTTACACTGTTTTGTGTTTCTCTCAAAAAACAGTGATTATTCTTTATCTTAGTATCACACGCCAGATGTTAATAGCAGCTTCGCCAAGGACAGATTGTTCCACCAATCTTCTCACATGGCATCATTTACTGTAAGTAGCTAATTAGAACAATAGGAAAAAATTACCTCATATTTAATAAAACGGCAAAGCTCCTGAACATAAATAAAATCTATATTATTTTCTTTCCAATTATTATTTTCACGACCCCTCGGGGTTAAATTGTATTTGAAATTCAGGAAAATGCAGATTTTCCCACGTTGCTTTAGTACTAAAGGATATAAGTACTTCCTCCACCCCTTACTTCCCATTTTTAGGATCAGGATCAGGAGGGAGTGACTCAATAAAAACTCACAGCAGGATGTCGCAGGTGTCTTTATGAGAAAATCCCAGCAGCCTGCGAGCCTCAGCGACAATCAAAGGGATCAAAGGTCAAGCAACTTGTGGATTTAAAAGGCCATCGAACAGGGTCACAAAGAGCAACACATACACACACATTCGAACAGTCAATTGTGTGTAGTGAGGTGTTGAATTAGGGAGGAAGTGACCTTTGTCCGTCTGCCCCGAGGTCAGATCTCTTCATTTCACACTTCATTTCTGACCTCTGACAGGCTGACAGGCTGACCCTGATCTCTTCTGTGTTTCTAAGCTGTTTGTTTATACCTCCATATATTCAGCTGCTTTTTATAGCCGGATGCATTCTTCACATTGTCAGGACTGTTTGTTTGCTTCCTTTTTGTAATGCAGTGTATCTTAAGTGCAGCTTAAGTCACAAGTTGTGATGCTAGAATTTATATAAAATACAAGTTTTTCACAATTCTTTAGAACCTAGTTCGATACATATTATGTATCATATGTATCAAGTGGTTAAATGATAAATCCTGTTTAAAAATCTCTACCATAACTCTAGATAAATAAAATGATGTCTCACCACAAATAATTTGGACAAATACATTTGTATAATGATTGAGAAGTGAAGTAGAGACACTTCTGTTAAACCCTACATCTAACGTATTTCGTGTTTCTGATATGATCTTTGCTCTCCACTTTTATCTAGAAATGTATGTTATTAAGAAGACTCGTAAAAAAAGTGCATATCTTAGGAAATGTCGGATATTCAGACTTTCAGCACATGACAGATAAATGATGCTACAGGTTACCATCGGTAATGGTAATGCAGTCCCAGTTGTCTCATTCAAACACTGAGAACATTATTGTAACAGATTGCATAGCAGAGAACTGTAGTAGGGTTGATATCAAATGATGTACTTGTTGGTCCTTTTCTTTTTATGTGATTGAATATTTTTAGGCTGACAGGCATTTTTTACAACAAAGAATAATCTTATTAAACTGGAAATAATCTGAATAATTGATAATAAAAATAGTCCTTGGTTGCAGCGCTACTTTGGTGTGTAATCGTCAGTCATGTGAATACGGTGCGTTCAAATTAAGTTTTAGAAAGAATTTGACCTTCACGCTTTAGAGAATGAGAGAAATCAAATGAGCATAAAGTGAGTTACAGCAGTAACAGATATAAACAGAGGCGGGGGGGGGGGGGGTGTAGGCGGTTCAAGTCAGACGGCATTCTTCCAGAGACATTTTGTCTTCATCACCTCATCACCCAGATGAGGATTTGCTGTTGAACTTGAACCCATTTCCCTCACACCGGCTGATTTCACGGTGGCAGCCTCAAATCCTCCAGCTCCTCCCCCGTCCTCTCTCTCCCCCCTCAGCAGCATGCTTGTCTTTGTGAAGCTGTCTTCCTTGACTTTCCGCATCCCCCGTCTGGCCCTCTACAACCTCCCTTCCATCTCTGCCCTCCCCTCCCCTCTCGCGCAGCCATTCTTCCCTCCTGGGTTGTGGGGCTCCAGGAGACGGCCCACGGGACTCGCAACACAGAATGCTAATCAGGCCCTCGGCGGCACTTCCCACGATTTCCCTCCCAGACAGGAGCTTTTGTTTTGTTATTGATTCTATTATAATCAGACGGCTCCCGTAACTTTCCTGCTGTCTGGAGGCCGCTCTGCAGCAGAGGGCTACCTGTCATGTGGCCCCCGCTCACATTCACTCAGGATTTATGCTGTTAGTAAAACAATACTCATTATCCTGTTTACAAGATCTACAGTGGTAAATAAGTAACTGTGGGATTTCACACTTATTTAATACACTGCCAGTCTCATTTTAGTTTGGTTTAAATCTCAAAGAATATCATTTCAAATGTACTGCAAATGCTCTGGAATAAAATAACAAATGTTGATAAGTTGTTTATCTTGTTGGAAATAGACTAATTATATCTATTATAAGGTGTTTGTAACATAAGTTACTGTAACATTTCTACAGCTGATAGTACTGTGCTTATTTGATCTTTTTTGTATTAGATTTTTCCACATGCTGTTTGATGTAATTTTGTTCAAATGACTTTATTCATACAAAACACAGGAGGTTTGTTGAGTATGCTCTTAATGGTAACAGTTCAGTGGAACAAATGAGGCAAAAATAACAAGAACTGCAAAGTTGTTGAATTATACTCAAAGGTTACAAAGTTCAGAGAAACCAATCATAGTTGACTAAAAATGCTCATTGATACGCCTGCCCATATACAGTAAGTTATTGAGGTTGCTTTTTAAGGTCAAATTTCCTGCAATCGCTACAAAGCTGACATTTGTTTTCTGTGATTTTGTTGTTGTTGTTCCAACTTGAAAAGTAGTGGTACAGATAGCCAAACTGTCGTCTCTTTTAAAAAAATGATAAAGGGTTAATAAAATATCATAAATGTGTGGCATTCTCTTGCTTTTGAGTTTCTTCACTGGTAGACAAAACAATTATCAAAAATAATAAGCCTTTCTTAATAATGTAATACTCAGTCACTGCTGTCTTAATCATTTATTTCTTGCTGTATTGAATGGAAGGAGCCTTGTGCTTTACACAATTAGAACTGCTCACTATGAACGATTATCCGTCTTATCATGCGTAAAACCAAAGCTCAGAAACCGCTTTCCTCGAGCCCTTTAACCCGGTTTGTTTTTGAGCTGAACGAGGATCTCGTCCCTACAGATGTTTCCAGATGCTGCATGCAGCACGGCAGCAGCTGGATCCACTGTCCTGCGCCTCCTGAAGAGCAGCTGTGCCGCGCCATGCGAGACTCAACATCCAGATGTGACTCTGATTTCACTCTGCAAGGGTACAGCGCGTGTAAACACTGATCAGTGATCGAGTCAGTGTTCATGTGAGCGTGTTGTTCTGCTCCCTGCTTTCCAGCTTCCACCTCTGGATGTTTCTAACGTGGGTTTGCTAACCTGTACAGTTAAATTACATTAAATGTAGTTGGCTACAACCTCGTCCTGATCCTGAGGAAATAAAACCAGCCGGCTCAAATTCAAACGTGTTTCGAAATAGTTTACTCCAAATGGTTCATGACGGCAGATCCTCATAGTTGGCTCTCATTGTGTAAATATACCAAGTCCTAATATCAGATTTTCTCTAAACGATTATTATCTCAATGACTTTAGAAAACTAACATAATAATAATAAAGCTCAGATTCAAATGTATATTTATCTAAGACTTACTACCTCGAGTAAGTCTTGTTGAGTTGAAACCGCGTTAGCCATTTATGTATTAATAACTGATTTTTAACCTACAATTGGAGAGCTTGAATACTTTTCAGACTGCCTTCAGAAGCCAAGTGCTTTCATTAAAATTAAGCTAGAAGGTAATTTATTTATCTTTATTTTAGATTTACAGACAACTTTCTTTATTCATTAAGATCCCCTGGTCTTTAGCTCTTTGTTTCTTGTGCATACTGGCACCATTAGTCCAAATGATCCATTTTACAATGGTTGGAATTCAACCTACATCCTTCCCACACATATCTCCACTTACAGGTTGATTAAGAGTTATTCAAATGTGTGATTGATTGGGACAGAAGTCCAAAGTTTCTAAATTGTTGAACTCAGTGAGGGTCTTTACATGATTCAGGGACTAAACGGGAACAGAAAGGCTCAGACACCATATAGCTGATTCGTTAGCGATGTCAAATGACTTCAAATGGATTTACATGTTTTGGCAGGCAAAATGTGCAACACTTGGTTTTTGTTGTTTTTTGTAACACCAGTATTTGGATGATGTAGTGTAGGAGAAACAAAATGTGCGTTCTGACAGATAACACATAGACATTAGAAATCAACACTTAGACAAACTGTTTCATGTAAACATTAATACTTTTATTGATTTAAATTAACTGCCGTAGAAACAATTGCATAGTTAAAACATTGAGCACATGAACAGCAGCTCAAGTGCAAATCATGCTTATAAGACTCCTAAAACAGCAGTTCATAGTGCATTGTAATATAATCAATTACTCCCACTGACTAGTATTCAAACTGCATCAAATCTATTGCACATTCATGTTCCACATCAGATCAACACAAATTCCTATGCATTGAATTATTCATATCACATTGTCAAAGGAGCTGATTTGACAAATGAAATGTGGAATAAATCCAGATTTCAGTTTCTAGAGGCTGACTGTGCAATTAACAGCTGATTAAATCATCTCATTAAACACTGTTTATAATGAACCTACGGCATACACGCTTCGATAACATCGTAGTACACACATTGCAACTGCGCTCATATAGTGCATTTTGGTAAAATACCACAACTCTCCCACACAACCCTAACCCGTACATTTAGCTGTTGATGTGCAAACTCAACAATAAAATGAATGTGCAATCATTCATACAAATAGTGCAAACTTAACAAAAAACCCTCATTTCTTTTGCATAGATATCAAAAAATAAGTTTGATTGCATTAAATACTTTCTGCAGTAATACTAAGATTAAATGCATACACTAAAAATAAAATCACAATGTATTGAAGATATTGTACACAAAATGAAAAAGATCAAATGAAATGTGATGTATTTGACAGATGGCTTAACCGCCAAAATATTTAGCATGTTAGGGATATAGAGATGTACATTAGAAAATCTATAGTTATGAGATAATGAATTAAAAGGTCAAAACTATCTAAATGATTGAGATACAATTCTTCGTGGATGGATCTTGACCATAAAACATTTTTGACAACCCTTCATCAAAAAGATTATTTCAAATGTTGGAGGTGATCCAGTCACAGATTGTCAACAATTTGATTGTAAACAACCAACATTTTACATGAGACAAAAATACTACTAAGTGCTAGCTATAATAAGTATAAACAAAGACAGTTCAAAAGAAAATACAAATCTATATTAAACCTAAGATAAAAGGCTAATTTAAAGGAGAATAATACTAAATGCCATTGAATACTAATAATACTCAGGATTAATACAGAACATTTAAAATACCACTGCAGATATTTTTAAAATATTAAAATCATTTTTTAGTTTAAACCTCGAATGGCTGAATTTGTGTGTGTGTGTGCATGTGATGAAGAGTCATCTAAGCCCTGACCTACATGAAAATCTAGTGCAGATGTCACCTGAACAGCTGTGCAGAGCAGTCCACAAAAACATTGTGTACACACACACACAAACACACACACACACACACACACACACAGAGATCACTTTGCCGTCCTTTACTCTCAGTTTCACCGTCATAATAGCCGAAGGTCTGTTTGTCCACTCGTATCAATCTTCTTTCACCAGTCAGATTAAGATGTTGTGCTGTTGAAGTCACTTTTGTATCCATTACCAGTTTAAGAGCTTGTTAGAGACCGCTCCTGCTTTCATAGAATCAGTGTGTGTCCTCCATTATATTAGCTGTTCATGATGTATTCCTGTGTGAAGTGAACATCGCTGGACTCAAAGTCACAGTCCAAAGGAGCGGAGAGGCAAGGATTCGATGATTCCCAAATCCAGACTGATGAGAAACCTTAAGAGGAGACAGAATTTACGTTTCAAAACAATCATTAAATGTTGCTGATAGATAAATAACAGCAACATCTTCTACACTTTCATCTAGAAAGATCAAAGGATGTACAGTTACTGCAATATTTGGAGCAATAGAGTATGGTTGGCCATTTTGTGCTGTATTTGATTGAAATAGGTTGCTCGAATCCCTACAAATCTAAAAAGAAAGTCTGCATTGCACAGAATAGGAGCATTATAAAAGAGATTAGCTCCCAAGAGATTATCTTGGTAAATAAGGATCAAAAGTACAGCATCGACACATGCAATTAATGATCTGACACGCGTGTCCTCCATGACACACGCTTAGAAACCGTCGGCTTTTGTAGAGAACAGGAAAAAAAAAAATCACCTTTTTTTATTTATGCTTTAAAGCTCTTAAAACGTTAGACTGCAACTAGTAAGATGGGTCTATAATTGAATATGATAATGTATTGTCTTTCAATGGAATCTTATTGATATTCAATTAAATAAGGTGTACAAATGTTACCGTCCAAGTAGATAAAAACAAGCACAACTCATATCTCAGAAAATCTTGTGTGAAATATTTGGGAAAATGTTTTGTTTTTTACATTGTACTCTCCACCACCACTGTATACAGTAGCTGGTGGCAACACTCACATCACCATCTCCTCCAACCTTCTCCCATACCCCAGAATGCACAAATACATACAGTTTAGGACCGGGATCTCACTGCATCTCTCAATTTTCAACTTCTTAACTGAATACAAAAAGTACTTTCCTCTTTTATTTATAGGCATAATGTGGTTATTTAAATTAAACCATAGTTTTTTGAATAACAATAAAACATGCTATCTCTTCATAAAATATTTTGGTCATATTGCCAGCCCACCCTGGAGGATTGCATCAGGGTTTTGTCCAATGGCACAAATATTTGTCGGACTCTGAGCTAATCCCTGCGTAATTTATTTAAAAGCTCGCTGCTACTGTATATCGCTTTCCGAGTGGCCTTTACTGTAAGCTCCCTTTCCCTGCCCATAGATGGCACACTAATAACAGAGGGAACAAACACACAAAACCATCCCAGACGAGATCAAATGTGTCCCCCCCCCCCCCAAACCCCAAAACACTAAACTCCAGAACCACCATGTCTGTATTTGCCAGTCTAGACACAAGCTGCTCTTCCAATCACCAACATGCCACCTCCTCTCCTCTAATCTCCTCTTCTCCTTCCTCCTCTCCTTCTCCTCTCCTCCCTTCTCTTTCTCCCTCTTCTCTCCCCCCTTCTCCTCACCCCCACTTTCATTGTCTGATCCACCAAAGTGTTTTTTCCCACGCTTTAGTTTTCCCCGTCCTGTTTGCAGCCAGGCAGCCGGGGGAGTAGGAGGGGGACATAAGGGTGGAGGGCAAAGGGAGTTGGGGGGTGGAGGTTGGTAAGAACTGATGGGGTCGCCATAGCAACCCCACATTGGCATGCCCCTGATTGGACTATGTGGTGGCTAATTATTCAGCGCATATGCTTAAAAAAAACAATAAAGTAGGACGTATTGAAATGCAGAGCCGAGCATCGCATGGTGTGTGATTAACATATGAGCCCAGCGCTGCTTTTGATGAAAGACGCTCAGTTTCATTGCTCCATGTACAACTTAAATGCAGTGCTTAATTTTATGTGCATGTTAAATACATTAGGACATGTCTTCTGATTATTTAAACTGTAATTCTTATTTTTTTCATACATTTTAGTTTGACGAAATGTTAAACTTTTTGTCACAAACGTAGTTTTAATCTAAAAAAATCGACTTTAATCTATGAGAAAATTATGAATGAAGATCAAGCCAAACTTAACATTGAGGCTGCCTGCAACAAATGCAAGAGCAGCATAGCAAGACTGGCATGACGGACACGTTTTGTGCGTGTGTTTGCATGTGTGTGCCTGTGTGTGCCTGTGTGTGCCTGTGTGTGTCAGAGGCAGTATGGTCTGCTGTGTGAAAGAAACCTGAGGGGTAGGGGATTGTATGTGTGTGTGAGGAGTGGTGGGGTAATGTTAACAATGGCCGGCATTGTTTACCAATCTCCCTCGTCCATTAATCAGGACGATCCGGCTCTAATTGGCGTTTTGGTTAAGCTGGTCTCCAGACCCCCGTCCCCTCCACTGGCCTAAATAATGGCGTTACGCCACAAGTGCCGCCACACATTGGGGAGGACAATGTGCCGCTTGTCTGAGGGCCCAGGATAGGATCCCCACCCTCTCCTCTTCCCCTCCTTTCTCAGTGCCCCCTGCACCCCTCCAAGATAAACCTCACACAGGAGCACAAAGAAGGCCTCTCACTATTGAGATCTCACTGTCGCAGCCTCCCTCTCCTTGTTTGTCTGCCCGCCCGCCCCCCCCGCCCCTCCCTCCAGTCTTCCTCAGTCATTCACTAACTAACTCCCTCAACTCATCGTCGGACCCTCGTTCATGGCTGTCAGGGTGAGAGTTGCAGGTCGAAAAACCACATCGAAGGAGGCTATCGTACTACCCTATTTAAAAGGTTGACTAAGTTGCCAGTGAGAAAAAAGAAATTCTAACCCTTTACAAGAGAGATTTAATTGTTTTCCTACATGATAAAGGATCCTATGCTACTCTAAAAGTTTAGACTTGTAAAACAATTTTCACAACCAACTGGCTTCAACATCAAAAATGCTTTATCATAGAGCATAAAAAGGGCCAGAAAATGTGTCTGTATGTTGGAGACTAAAGGTTTTCACTCAACAGCAACAAACTTGATGTTTTTTAGATTATTTCAATGTTGAGTCCAACAAAATCTTAAAGTTAGGACGTTCCTCCAGTCCAAAAATGAGTGACGGTTGCTGATCACTCGTGGCAAGAAATATTCTTCTACAAGCCAATAGGGAGTGTGTTGCACATCTGAGAAAACTACAGTGTGACAAAAACCACAGATTTGTGAAGACCACCATGTTGCTAATTACAGCTCTTTGAGAATGTCAGGGATGTAGGTGTTTTTTTTTCTCCCACTTCATCAAACAAAGCTGTGTGCACTCGCCTGCAGCGTAGATATCGTTTGAATGCTCCACACACAAAGAAAAAATGCTAGTGGAGCAAAATTCTAACTCTTTGTAATCAAAAGAACAATCTAATTAAAGTCCCAGATGCCGAACACTCGGAAGACTTTTTCGAGCGTCTTGGAAATCCACAAAATGGTCGATCGTCAGCGTCTGCAGCGTGACGACGGGCACCGAGAAAGCGACGCACGAATCGCAGCTGCCCTCGAAAATGCCAGCTTGCCGACACTCAAAAGCCACCGGCTCCACGGTTTCCTCCTATCTCATCCCTTTTTGCACGTCTCTTGGGGCGATCTCTACAATTAACACACTGGCAGTAATTAACACTGTCTTGAGGCAACCAATGGCGCGGAAAGGATCAGGGCCAACATGGAGTGGGGGAAGGTGCAGTGTACGCTATCCACGTTCTCCCAGCTACAGCTGCCATTTTGTGCCAGTCTTAACACCTAAGATGGTGGCAGGACTGTGACTTGCCGTGTGGGAGAGGAGGACAAACTGGCAAGGGAGGGGTTGGAGAAGAGGAGGATTATGGGATTGAGGAGTGACTCTTGTATTTTCATTCTTCTCAGTATGTTGCTGAACGGTTACCAAGACAGAATGGAGAGAGGCGGAGAGACAGAAAGAGGCATGTTTGTCAGATTGGTGCCCTACATGCACCACACATAGAGGAGGAATTCTCCCACACATGGACACTCCAAGACACACACACACACACCCATGTCAGAGAGGAAGAACAAAGTGTTTACAGTGTGGGCGCGAAACAAACAAAACCCTGTGATGGTCTGTTTGTGTAAAAACGTGTAATTTACATGTGCTTAATATACACCGCACACATGTGCCCATGCATGACACTCACACACACACACACACACACACACACACACACACACACACACACACACACACACACACACACACACACACACACACACACACACACACACACACACACACACACACACACACACACACAAACAACCAACACAGCCGTTCTCATGGTATGGTCTGCCCCTGAGCATGCAAATGACATTCATTATGCAAATGCATACAAATCAGAACCAACCATCTGAGAATCCAAGCTGGGAAAAAAACGAAAAGAATAAAATTAAATGAATGAGGGGCGAAAGCAAAAGAAAGGAGGCATGTTGGGAAAGTACAGTGTCAAAAAGTGCATGTGGCTAATTGTCAATGAAGAAAAATAGCTTTCAACCTATTTTTCCTGCCAACAATAAAATAGGGTTTGAAGGCATAAAAGGCTTAATTAATCTTGCATATAACAAATTAAACTGCAGGCATTAGGGATGAATGAATGGGAAGCATAATTTAGAAGTTTTAATATCGATTCAGTATATGTAAATGTCTTACGGTCTTATCTTTACTGATGTGTTGGTCTTTTAAAGATGAATACATTTGTGATTTTAGTAAAGGCAATTGAGGGAGCTTGAGCGTTTTACAGTTTTTTTTACTGACAAAGTCACTCAAGATGGGTTGACACACACACCATCTTTCCTCACTGCCTCGTTGTGCCCACCGATGACACACTGTTGACTTGTTTGAGACAAAGCCTGTTATGTTCTTTTAGCAAGAAAGGCAGAAAATCAACTGCAGAAGAGCATCAACTGGAGAGGAGAGGCTCCAAATGATGGCTAAGTGCCGCTAATTGCCTCTCGAGGTGCTCCTGTCTTTGTTTCACCTCTCTCACCACCACTGCCTCTGTAGGACATGCTCTCTAAAACCGCAGGAGAGTTGCATGCACATAATCACCCCTTTGTGAATCTTGCAATCCCTCAAACTAGGAGGGGATGGCTGTGTATTTGTGTCTCCACCATGTGTAGTTAACGCCTCATCTAACGACTCAACAACAAACAGATTCCCCTTAAAAAAAAAAAAAGATTCAAGCAAGAAAACTGAGCTAAAAACAAAATGTAGCCAATTATCTGGCTTCAATTAAAAAGGCAAAATGAAGGCTAATTAGAATCCGATTGCGGCCAAATTCGTACGCAAATGAAATGCAATTAGACAAAGAGATTATGTGTGTGTGTGTGTGTGCGTGTGTGTTGTATGAACAGTGTGTACACTGTTTTTGTGCGTGTAAAACGGAGAGAGAAAGGCTGAAGAAAAGGAAAGGCCTATAGGATATCATTTTTTTACATTTATCTCAACATTTTATCCAAGCACTTTACAACTTTAAACTCAATAGTTCAGCTTCTTCTTAAATTGGCTGTAGCTCCTTAAAGCTAATCGCTTTACTCTTTACTAATTTGTACTTGCATTGATTAGACATTTTTCAGAAACAAAACCGTAAACCAAAATAGAATTTGATTTGATGTGTGATTAGAAAGGCCTCTAATCTACAAGAAAAAACACACAGCTAGGTAAAGGCCATAGATCTCTGGGCCGCAGTGCATCAAGAATAGACCTTTCCTTGTGTAAGGTACTTTAGTTATAGAAAGTAATTACACAATTGACCTCTCTACTGATAGATCGGTAGGACAAGAAGGTGGTAGAAATAATATTTGTCTATCACACTGTTGCTCATCTAATTTGGCCTCCTTCAGCAATGCTTGGCCCCTAACTGACAGGCAGCACTACAGTCTAACAGCAAAGACCTTCGTCCCTCCAGTATCACTCACTGCAGAGACTCAGAAGAGGGTTTGAATTATTAATTTCCTTAACATGGTTCTTTGTTAATTTGATGTATTTCCTCCTGAAATGAGATGTTTGGACAGTAGATGAAATTATTTATTCAATAGGGTGTTGTTTTATGGAGAGAAGTTAAGGTTAAATAAAAGTTACACCGAAGACTTTAGTGTTTCAGGAGATACAAGTACATTTTGAAGTTAAAATTATCAGATGTATTAGTCATTTTTTGCTATATATTTTTAGTGGGAGAAGGTGTACATATTCATTTTAGGATATATTGATTTGTTTGAGTGGATATTTGAGCAAAGCACTATTCACACACAGCACATCTATGCCCTGTCACTGCAGCATTACATGTTACAATGAATAACATTTTCTGTAGTAAGTATAGTTGTTTTTGTGTTGCAAATGATGATAGACCCGACCCTCCCTTTTATCAGATTTGATGTAACACAGCATCATACCTTCGCATCATCGCTTAGCGTCCATCGTCCGAGCCCCTTCCTGGTTCTTTTTATGTTTTTTTTAAATTTAGTCTTCTGCCTCCGTGCAGGCGTGTAATGGGATTCTTGTTACTTTCGGTTATCTAGCTTTATGAAAAATGTGCATCACTCATACAGCTAGATAACCAAAGATAACAGACAACCCCTCCGGCCTGCAACACAGCTCTCTGTCCGCAGCACACACAGCCTCCGACACACCTGTAAGGGCAAACAATGACACGGAAAAATGCTTTTAAATTCACTCAAATAAAGATTCTTTACTCTGTTTTGCACATGTTTTCCAGAGGTTGAAGTAATGACAATAATGGTCATAAATCTGGAGTGTTAATGCAGATGATTTATATCATGGTGTTAAAAATGCCTCAGTGAAATGAGATGAAAAACAAGCATGACTAAACATTCACAAGGGATACTGCTGGGAAAACACATTTTCCAAGCTATTAAGTGTCTTTTATATGACTGAAATGTGAATGGGTTCTTATAGGAATTCAAAACAAAGCATTATAGCCGACTATCCAGTGAACTAAAGAAAACAACGATAAAAATCTTTATGAGGGGCATCAGAAGCTCGGGATGAAATAGCACTGAAGGGAATAATTTACACAATAGCTAATAGTAAGAAATATTACAATATAGCAGAATATAAGGAGGAAATCCCTCGAAAGTTTAACACAAACACATTTTAGTCAAGGTAAATACTTGGTTAATATATAATGAAGGTAGTCTATTCAGTCAACTTAATGTCGAATCTGGAAGTATGTTAACTGTACATGCAGATAAACATGTACTCAGAAGTTTATCTGATCATTATTCAAATAGTATACTGGCATAAATAGTTTAAAACCTCAAGATTTTTCTGCACGTTTCAAACATTTCTTTTTTAAAATAGCAGTTCAAAAGAACATTTGAGTGCCATTGTCTCATACCAAAGACTCTTATTTCACCTCACAGCGAAAAACAGATTAGATTTTAAAATAACCTATATTATATAGTACATTTATCAAATGGTTTCAAATACTGTGGAAACATTTAATATCATTATTTTGATTTACATTATGAAAATGTTTATGCTTTCATTTTGTTTTACATTACGTTCTAGTAGATACTTGTTCGATTTTAAGTATTTGGAGTATATTCATGTCAAAATGTTTTATGCTTGCACATCATTTCCTTATCACATAATTATCTGCAAATACTAAAATAAGAGACCCAAACAAATACAACCACTTTATAAAACGTACATACTGCAAATCCCTTTTTTTATTTTGTTTGTCTTTTGAATACAAAATGGCCTTTGGCTGAGAGGGGAATGACGTCAATCCCATAGCTGGCTTTCAATTAATGCAGCGAAGTGTGATGCCTAATTAACACACACACACACACACACACACACACACACACACACACACACACACACACACACACACACACACACACACACACACACGCCATTATGAGGCTGTTCTTTCTCACAGCATCGTGAAAATAGGCCACTGCCTTCATCAACAAATTTAAAAATTTAAAAAAACACAGAACTCTCATTGTAGAAATGCGCTAAAATGCAGATTAAGATATTGTTGCCTGCACATAATTCCATATTTTAAGCCTACATTTTCTTCAAATATTCTTTCTGGAAGGGCAAAGATAGGGATGAATTATATAGGATGCACACAATGCTTTGGATTGTTGCCAAAAGACATCCATTAGTGGGAGCACTTTGCTGTTCTGCGTCTGCAGGTTGTGACACACACGCGGTTAAACACGAGCTCTCTGGTCCAGCGTCCACGTCAACAGCTATAGGTTTACCTCCTATACAAAGAGTGAATTTCCCTTTTTATAAATGTTCTATTTCAAATACCACATAATAGTGTTTAACCACATACCATTTATTGTCCTTCCTAGTGGGTGTATGTGAATATAATTTGGATTACAGTCAAATTAATTTCCTTAATGGCTACACATTTCTCCCAATCAAGTCCATGTGTGTTTTTAAAATGCTAAAATTCGACTTATTTTTGTTAGTAATTTCTGTGACAAGGATTTATGTTGGTACAACACTATTTGTTTTTTATGTGTGTTATTCAGAGCTTTGTCAGCTGCATACTTTAGCTGCATTTTAAGCATACCTGAATGTAACATAATATTAAATACGACTCATAGCCTAACTCTAAATTAAAACTGTTGTAGAAACTTTAACTTCCTTTAAATGTACATCTGATGTATTCCTGGATTCAGGCAACGAAACCAACATTGCCCAAAAGTTGAAACCCCTTACTTTAATTTCGGCTACAGAAATAATGATTACTAAAGGAATAAAAACACCTTATGGTCTGTGTAGGGAATTTATAGCACGTTAGGTTAAAGGTACCTTCACAGTAACACAGTGAACATGTTGTACTTTAACAGATTGTCAGGAGCATGAAAGGCTGCTGTAAACGATGCTAAATCTGAGCGGAACCCTCGCGTCCACGAAAAGGATCCCGAAAGGATTTTAAAATGATTTCCTGTAGTAATCAATTAGTTCCACACAGCGTGCTGCTGCTGCGTGCTCGCTCGGGTTGTTCCTCTATATGTGTGTAGCGCAAGACCAACATAGCCTACTATGGATTTTAATTATATATGCAGATTGAATAGCAATAGTAAAACCATGGCGAATAAAAAGTGAGAAGATTCATATTCACCTGACAGGCGGTTGGGAGCAGTTTCGTCTTCATTTCTCGCGCTTTTGTTTGTAAGTTTCTGAGGGAGAAAAAGAAAGAATGACGACATAAATCACCTGGAATATCCAAGAAATGCACGCTGAATAACACACGAGCATTTCCTCTCCTCTCTCCCTCTATTCCTGGAAAACACCTTGGTGGGAAACGTGCCTATGGGTCACAGAAAGCACCAAACTAATCCACTTTGTGTTGCTCTGCAGGGGGGCCCTGCACCTGCAGCTCCACTGACTGCATAGAGGCTCCATGCTGCTGCAGACTCTCAGCGTCACATTTCAACATGTTAAAGACGTGTGTCTATCCACTGCCACCTGTCACTTGAGACTTAAAAGTGGACTTGGTGGTGAGGTCATTAACTATGGGTCGTCTTTAAAAAAAAACTGAATTCACCTGTTCCGTCTAACTGCAGAGTCATGATAAAGCTCCGATTCACGTCTTCATTTTGGGAAGCATCTGATTTATTCTGCCTTTGCGTAATCCGGCCTGGCCCCCAGGAGTGAGTTATGCTGTTTGTTTGTGACAGTGATGAAGGAAAATAAGTCCCTTTTCAATTGGAAATATTGTTTCCTTTCATACAAATAAGATAAACAATACTGCATTTGATAATAAAGTCCAAAAGAATAGTGAATTAACTTCTTCACTACTTTGTCAGCTACAGTTTTGCGCAGTAATTATGAATACGCCTCCACTAAAATTACGCTGTATTCAAAAGCCCTACTATAGAAAAGTAAAAACTAGCCTATAGAAATAAAACAGAAACACGCATGAGATGGAGTCTTTCTACCCACTCACACAGATTAAGCAGGCCTTATGTAAGAACCCTCCAATGCTGGCACGTACTGTATAATCCTGCAGGAAGCCGCTGCGTTCATGTAGCCTATAATCACCTTTCTCTTTTTTCCATTTTTTTTGTACATGCTTTCCCCTTGCTTGGCCTGTTCAACGCGTAATGTGTTGACAGCAAACGGGCCACAACACAACGCTGCTGGGAAAGGTTGCACCGCCCGAGGCCCCCCTCACACCGCCACAGGCCGAGCCTCTTCTACAATGAGTTGACGTAGTATTAAAACAAAATAAATAAAAATAAAAGTCTGCCGTTTTGGATCTAACGTGTGTTATTGGTTTAACAACACAATATATGGCTGATCTGGTGTCAGCATCCCTCAACAGATTCAAATTCAACATTTCTTAATTCATGTAAAAGACATTGAAGCAGAATTTGAAGTTAGGCTAATAAAGTAGAACAAAACTGTCCTTGTTGTGGCATTTTCTTAAAGGACTGTTTAAATGGGCAGGCTTAGAGAGATCGGAGGGCAACATGCACATTCCTTTGTACAATATCAACATTTACACAATTAAAGATGACTAAAAACTAATCAAAAGGGATCATGTGAGACAGAATATCACATGTGAATAAAGTCCGAGAAAAGGCCACTAAACTCAGTGCTAAAATTGGTTGGATTCACAGTGATGCTCAGATTTCAGCAGACTCCCTTGGACATAGTATCTCGTGCCAAACAAAAGTGTCTGCAGCCACAAGTGAAACTCACGTCTGTGCTGCTGCCATCACGAGATGTTCAGCCGTTGTTATTTCAGATGCTTCTGTTTACACAGACCTCAAACTGGTCTGAGAACAGCACATGGTTCTCCGAAAGAAAATGTAGATTGAGTGTAAACCATCTGGCCGGCCTGCAGATCCTTTCTTATTTCACAACAGGGCGAAAAACACAGTGTGTTGCAGCGTAAACGCGCCTGAGCTCGCAATATAAATCCCCCACTGCAGGTTTTGAACTCATATTCAACAAAATCACTCAAAATACAAAACAGGGTTCTTACTGTGTCCTCCTTATTTGCAGCAGGGTGGGTTGCACTTGGTTTGGATGAGCTCCTGGTAGCCAGCGGTCCCTCCGGACGTGCAGCATGCTGGGAGCCAAATGAGCGCGTTCATGAGCGGCGTATTGAGCTTTGTGGCGACTGCGCATCGTGACGTCCCGCTGGCCCCGTCCATTTGTTTAAATCTAACGGGTTCCCTTTTTTTCTTTCCCCGTATATCGTCACACGGCTGTCCTCCACATCCACAGCCCGCGACATCCCCTCTCCATCGCAGGGAGTTGGGGCAGTCCGCCTGGATGGCTACATCTCCACCACTGTTGTCTCCAAAATGGTTTAACATCTCATTTGTCCCCAATCATATACGCTGTCCAAGTCCCACCCCCTTGTGAATCAGTGAGGTAACACTGTTCCCACCCTCTGAGATTTTTGATATTATGCAAGACGATGTAATTATAATAAGAAGCTGGTAGCGTCTCTCACGCCCCCCAACAGGCGCATGCAGAAGTGCATGGTGGCACCATAATTCATTCATCCACCAAACATCATTCCAATACCTATTTGTTGTTAGTCAATGTGTGCTTCCTCTGCATCATATAACACATAATACAGACGTTATAGTAATTTGTTTGCATGCCAATGTTTATTATATCACCATATTTTCAATTTGGAATGCAGCCATTATTTGCTAAGTGTTCATATTGGGCTTTACCTCAGCCTCACTAACATATTGGTACCATAGGCTATGATTGATAATGAATCATTACATTTCTACTGTCTCACATTTCTTTAAATAATATTTTTAGACTTCACTTTTATGGTAAAACGTGATTTTCAGATTGTTCAATGTTAAAAATGTAGCATTTAGCTTCTCCCCCAGAGTATATATCTCAGAGATGTGGCTGTGAAACAGAAATGTGTAGACAGCTTTGAGAGGCGCTCCGGCTTGGCTAATTATCATGATAATCACACCAGGAATCTTTTGAATTACTGAAAGAAGAATCCTCTCGAACGTTATTGTATAAGGGCCCAGGCTTGTCTGTGTGCATAGCCCTAGACAGTGCTCTTCATTTGCATTTAATAAAGTTAACTCAGTCATGTTGATCTGTCTAGACCAGGGGTCACCAACCTTTTTTAGGATGAGGGCTACTTTAAAAAAAGAAAACAAGTCGGGGGCTACTTTTCCTCCTCTTTTTTTTTGTTTTTTGCAATGTATATATTTAGCACATTTTAAAATTCTTATATGCTTACCTTTAACCTTTGTGTGTTGTTTGGGTCTGTGGGATCCGTTTTCAGTGTTTACTAAAATAAAATGTATTCAATTTAATTATTTTAACCTGCTTTATTTGGGGGTGGGGCTCACATCATCTAGGGGGCACCTCACATCCTCTAGGGGGGTCCTCACCTCCTCCAGGGGGACCTCACATCCTCTAGGGGGGTCCGGGGGCATGCACCCCGGGAAGATGTTTTTTAAAATGTTGAAGTGAAATGCATCAATCTGGTGCACTTTGAGCACAAAATGAATTTATGGATACAGCTCTCATGAAAGGGAGCTGTATACTTTTCAATACTCCAATCATCTTTAGAATATTATCACAACCAATAACAAATCATTTAAACTTGTTTATTCTTATCTTATGTTAGCATTCTTTCTTTTTATTTATGCATATTTTACTAATCATTCCCCTTTTAAACAGTTTTTTGTACTGTCCTATAGTACACATTGGAATGATTTCTTACTTTATCTATTACATAGATAAAAGTGTGCTCTCCCTAGCTCTCTCTCTATCCCTCTCTCTCCCTCCCTAGCTCCCTAGCTCCCTAGCTCCCTAGCTCCCTAGCTCCCTAGCTCCCTAGCTCCCTGGCTCTCTCTCTCTCCCTCTGTCTCGCTCGCTCACAGAGGTTGTATGCTCCTCCGTGGCGATGACGGCTTGCGTTAAAAAATAAATAAATAAACATATTTGTAAAGTGGGGGGACACAAACGGGATTTCGAAAAGTGCGGGGGACATGTCCCCAGTGGAGATTACGCCATGCGTGTGTGTGCGTCAAGTGCAATAAATATATATGCAAGTTACAACACACAGAGTAAAACTCTGCCCCTCATGTGCAGTATAGGCTGGCATGACTAGGCTGTGTTCAATGGGGCTGATGTGTTGTGTAGATTCGGCCAGAAGGAAAATCAGCGGGGAGGTTGCTTTTCTTCCCGACTGCAACGCTGGTCCCGCAAATCAAGCAAGAACGTGATTGGTCGATATTCATTGTGGGGGTGGGGGAGGAGGGGTGTTAGATAGATATAGAGTTGTAGTAAGTAGATAGAGTTTGCTATGATTTAGGTTTCGTTTATGCATAGGGTAGATTATTTTAATTACATTTCCATTTTTGTTTTGTGTATTTTATACATTTTGGATTTGCTTGGCGAGCTATTTTTAGAACATGCCCCGCGGGCGACTCACGTTGCCCCTGCGGGCGACTGAGTGCCCGCGGGCACCGTGTTGGCTACCCCTGGTCTAGACCAATGTGTGGAAATGCCTTCACACAGACACCCCCTACACAGACACACACTGCAAAACTTCTTGTTTATCCATTCTCCCGTAGAAAAATAGGCTAATGTTATAGGGTTCCATAATACTTCAAAATAACTTTATTGAGGGTGTGTAAGTTGTGTAGCTTTATTAAGTTAATACATATATTGATCAGTTATTAACCATTGGGACGCCATGTGAAAATGCTGTTGCACTGATTGTTCTGTGTGAAAGCATCAAAATCCATGTAATAACAAATCCTTATTAATCATCTAAGTTATAACAAGATTACATGATTAGGGATTATTTTTTCAAAACTGGACAACCCATATTATTATTAAAGCCATAAATTAGCTTACACATCATTGACCTCTATCAATAGTTATTTATAACGTGGATCTTAGAACAGTAAACTAAAAACCTATATTTGTGATAAGGCTTTTAGTTTGGGTTAACTTTCAATTCTCACATGGTATCATTGTCCATGTTTTACTGTATTTTCTCTGTTTTGCTTTTATTTTACATTTTTAATTTTCTTTTTTAAATTGTTTATTTTAACCTATTTAAATGTATTGTCAGCTTTACTTCAAGGGAATTTCACTGATGATGTTTTATCTTTTTCTGTATTTATTTTAATATTGTTGTAATTTCTTGTTCTGCAAAGCACTTTGGGCTGCTTTGTGCATGAAAGGTGCTATACAAATTAAATGTATTATATTATTAATATAAGCCTTCAAATTAAACCATTGTGAATCACTGATGGAAAATGTATATCTTGTAGTTTTTCTTTTCACGCTTTTTGTGGTTTTAGCTACATCAAACCCGCAAGATAACCATAAGAGTGAAAGTAAACCCATGCCAGTCCTGTGTCAGACATCTAAAGGCCTCAGGCACATGGTAACCCGGGGAGAGCCTCGGGCACCGGGCTGCAGGATGTCCCCGTGCAGCCGCAGCGTGGGAACCACATCCACACCATACACGGTCTATGATCCAGACGCGTTTACTGGGCTGTGATGAGATAACTCAAGTTCATTACCAACGCAGACCCTCCACCAACACGCTCTCTGGGGAGCTGCAGGCGCGCTCACATTAACACCTGCGCGCGCCTCGTTGCCAGGAAACTGTTGTATACGCTAATGGGCCAAGCAATAATGGGTATTTAAACATTTACAGTGAGAGAAGTCAACGTTATATTGGCTTATTTCCAAATATATATGACTATAGCAATTGGCTATGGTTTGAACAGCTTAACATATGCTATTAATCAAAAACAATTCAACTTTATTTTTTAACGTCCCCAGATCACAAATCTGTCTTCAAGGCTTTGTAAGATACTGAGCCCCTCTTTTTTTGGAAAGTATCAACTCTATAAATAAAGTGGAAAATGGGATAAACCTCAAAAGGAGCGTTCAACTGCCTCAATAGATAGAAATAACCTATGGAAGAAACAATAGATGTAGCAGGGCTGCAAAGCATCAGCAGAATTACAATATCCTAAAGAATAAAAACGAGTCCATAAACATGTAGGCCTAGCTTATAGACTCAAGTATTTGAGAATTTAAAGATAAGGCTTTCAATAGGACATAGCCTACTCCTGTATAACAATACAACAATGTTTCATGTCTTACTTTGAATATTATAAAACGATATGGAAATAGGCTTTAGCCTATCCCAAAATAGTAAGACATAAGCTTGTCGACGAGCATATTGGAAAAGCTCGGTAGAACACCTCATAGCTTACAAATACAGCATTTTATTTATCTACTCTGTCATCTACAGGCTACATTTATCACAAGATATATGATAAGGAAGGGGGTGTTGTCATGGTAACGACTAACGACATCAGAACCGAATTTATACGCCATTGAACTTATAAGTATTTTTTCCACTACTTGGTTCTTACAAAGTCATAAAAAACAATGGCATGTTGGTTTGTAACTTGTTGTAACGCGTTATATACGGGCCGTGAGAAGCAGACAGTCTTTAGGCGGGTGGGTCACAGTCTGTCTCAGGGCCTCCGACAGCAGTAAACCACCCTCCATTGTTTTACTGCTGCAGCCCAGACACCATGCAGGCTCCACTGCACAGGGCGGCGCGCATCGAGACCAAACACAGCCTTTTACGCACGCCAGACACGTGTTAGTACATTTGATATGTAGCCTAGATAAACTTCACCTTTTATTACTGTAAATATGAGTTGTAATACTCTACCCTTACCACAAGGACAGTGTGTATTTGTGCCCATGCATGCAGAGACTCACCCTTTCACTTCACGTCGCGCCAATATTCAAAATTGGGATCCTTTGATTTCAATAGGAGCTTAATGAGACATGATGGTGTATAATAAATGAAAAAGGCGGTACTTCATGAGATTGAAGGCATTGGCAGAGTTATTTCAAAATTGTTGCAAGATATACACGTTTGCATATTAAAACAATTAGGCCTAACATAAATAATAAATAGCCTAGTCCTTATAATCCTCATGCAATTAAATGTAAACAATATTGGAACCAGGCTATGTGTGTTGAATTATGTCCAATGTTGGAAACTTAGTACATTTACTTAGGAGAATGTACTGTTCTTGTATGTTTTCATATATGTTATACTTCTTCCAAATGAAATAGGTGTACTTTTTACTTCACTGGAATTATTTGATAATTTTAAGATAAAGAATAAAAGGGTATGACAAACTTTAATAATTCCTTGGTGAAACTTAAGTTACCCAGCAGTATGCTATATAAAGTGAAAATATAAATTAAGAAAAATCCCCTCATTCACCTGCTGTAATATTGAA